CAGTGGACACTGCTTTTTAAGTCAAATCATTGGACTGTAACAGCGTCTAGGACTTTGTTCCCAAATGCTATGGGGGCAGGGGGTGTTTTCAGGGTTATCCTCTGTAGAGCAATGTGAATTGCTTCTGTTTATTATATTGTCATTGCAGGGTATTCCTGACTATCCTCCCAGTTGGGTGGAATTAATTCATTAAGTAATAAATAGAGATTAGTTTTGCAGTCCTAGTAATTGGACAGTCATTGACCCCAGTCCCAAGCTGACTCAGGGATTTTTAGTAACCACATGAGAAGAGGCCATATCCCTCCTGTACGTCCTCACCCCATTCCTGTCCTCTCTTCATCTCTTGGCAGATTCAAGGTTAGTCCTGGCTCTTCCTGAAGCCTACCTGGCCTCTGTACTAGTGGAGATGATTTTCCTAGGAAACTCAAGGTTCCTGGAGCTGCACTAGTGTGAGGTGGGAAGGAAAGGAAAGGAAACTCGGGCTGGTTAAGCACCTACTATGTCACACAAAACCTGGTGGTTTGCAGGTTTTTCCATAACCTTTCAGTGATTTCTTCACAAAATTTGAATTCCACCATCCAAACATTTAACACTACTAAATTTGTGTGCTTACAGGAACTTCACAGACAAGGATCCTCAGGTGTTTCATTTGGTTTCTCAGTGTTTAATTTGATGAATGCCATCATGGGAAGTGGAATCCTAGGCTTAGCTTATGTTATGGCTAATACTGGTATCCTTGGATTTAGGTGAGTTTCATATTTTACTATCACTTTTTTTTCCATTTTAATAGTACACTGAGAAGCAAAGAGATAGGTTCCAGAAGCTACTATTATACGATTTCCAGTTAAATTATTCCTGAGGTTTTACTATTTTTCTAACTACTGTTGTTGCTAGTCTGTAGCTTGGAGGAATACTATATGGTTTGTTTTTTTATCCAAAAGTGTGGATAGTTTTTAAAAATGGGAATTTGATCGACACTCTTTTATAACCTTAAAAAGTGGCTTATTCATAGCCAGGTGTGGTGGCTCGTGCTTATAATCCCAGCTACTTGGGAGGCTGAGGCAGGAGGATCACTTGAGCCCAGGAATTGGAGGCTGCAGTGAGCT